CTACTATGTTTGTGTGTATCTCTGGCTATAGTGGACCGTTTCCAGCAATCTTTGGTGCGTTGGAATCGTGCTTCTGAGCTCTATCAAGCTGCTATAGTAGTGGAATTCTACAACTCCCTCGCCGTAGTAGCTTCGTGAGTGGGTTGCTAGTGTAGGTGCTGGTGAGCCTGCTAGCACATGTGCAATTCCTGCGAAGGCTTCGCTCACGTTCACGTTGGACCCCGTCACGACTCGGTGCTTTTTCCGCGACAGCACTACCGTCGGCTCCTGTCCCTGTCACTCTAGCCGACCCCACCTCCGGGCCCGTTGTTGCTTGCAGCTTCACTATTCTCCCGTGCCCAGCAGTTCCCTCTGGCTCTCTCACAGGCCTGCACCTCCCCTCGTTCGCTTCGAACTAGGTGAATGCAGGCCGCCTAAAGAATTTTCTCTTGACCACTACGAAACTTGGAGGCAAGCGAGTTGCGACCTGTATGGACACATCAATTGGAGCTCACCTAGCCTAGTTCATGAGGAGGCCCAGGTCTGGACTGTTCACACTGCACACTGAGTCCCCCCAGGTTGTTGCGTTAGGTCAGGTAGTTGCGTCTTGCTCGTGTCGGCTGCTCACACACGAGTCCCACATTTGGCACCACCATCTTGGTCTCCCCTCCCTTCAGCGTCTCTGTCGTATGCCCTCGCGTCCCCTTGTTTCTGGACTCTTGAAGTCCCTGCCCCCACTCCCGCCGTCGCTTGCGCCTCCGCGCACTCCTAAGTTGAGGGGCGGCAGTGCGCCGCTTTTCACTCCTCCTCTTTTCCTCCGAACACTCTCCTTTGCAGACGCTGCACATGGACGTGTGGGGCCCCGCCCCCATCCATGGACTGCACTTGGAGCGCTAATTTCTGCTGTTCGTCGACGACTTCACGTGCTATACCACGGTGTTTCCCTCAGAGCATAAGGGCGACGTCTGTACTGATCTGATCAATTGGATCCGCGCTGTTTGTCTCTAGCTAAGGCACGTTTCCAGCAGAACTTCCCAGTGCTCCATCTGCATTTCTTGAGGTTGCCTCCATGATCCATGTGGCTGCTCCCCACTTCCTGTGGCCATTTGCGGTCTAATATGCCGCGCATCAGCTTAACCACTGGCCCCGTGTCTCATAGCCAGAGACCTCGCATACCCTTCTTTGGACGGGGGAGGTTAACGATGCGTCTGCGTTTCAGGTTTGGGGTTTGCTTGCCCTTGTCCGCGATCCTACACCGGGCAAGATCTCTCCACGCATTATTCGCCACGTCTTCCTTGGCTTTCCTGTCGACGCCCCTGACTGGCAGTTTTACCACCTAGCCACTCGTCGCGTCCTGTCCACCCGAGACGTCACATTTGACGAGTCGGTTTGCTACTACCGTCTCTACCCCCACCGCAGTTCCCCCGTACCTCCCCCGCCCCTCTTCCTAGTTCCAGGTCCCCCCCAGGTAGACCCCCCTCTCCCCCCTCGTCCTGCTCCCTCAGGTGTGTCTCAGGTCCCCCCACTCCCCTCGGTTGTGCCTTTGGAGGTCTCCTCAGACCCCTCTGGCCCGGATGAGGGGGGTGACCCTGCTATTGGCGACACAGAGGCCTCTCGCCGCCCACTGCGCTTGGAGACACCTCCTGGTTTTCCATATCGGTCGTCTTCGCCTCCTCTGCAGCCTGTCGCCGTGGACTCTGGTGAGCCCGGTGCTGTTGGGGGTGGTGACTCTAGAGGTGCGGACTCCGGGGGTGCTGGTTCTGGGGGTGGTGACGCTGAAGGTGCAGGCTCAGGGGATGCTGGTTCCGGAGGTGCTGACTCAGAGGGAGCTGCAGCAGGGGGTGCTGCGGGTCCTCGTGTTTGTGGAGTCAAGGGTAATACTGCTGGAGGTTCTGAGGGTGAGTTGCACCCACTGCCACGGCAGCCCCTGTTCTGGGAGCAGCAGCAGACGTTGCTGCCACTACTTGGGTCTGCTACTGGAGATTCTGGGGGTGCTGGAGGTTCAGTTGCTGGAGCTGGAGGTGCTGGAGGTGGAGGCGTTCTTGGTGTTAGTCCTGGAGGAGGTGCTGCCACAGAAGGTGTGGTTGTACTGGATCTGGAGACGTTCATGGTGTTAGTACTGGAGGAGCTAATTCTGGGGGTGCGGCGCTGCGGTAGCGGCCGTTGTTTTGGGAGCAGCCGCTATTGTCGCTGCCGGTACCTGGGTCGGTGCTTCACCACCTTCTCTGTCTTCCGTCTGCCTCTGCAGAGCCGTTTATCACTGGTTTCCGCCACCTGACCTGTCTCTGTCTTCGCTCTTGAGGCATCTCAAAAGGCTGCTATTCCATCCATTTCTTAGTTTTAGTAAAACTATTGGATAATATTGGTGTTGAAAAAAAACAAAACAAGCAAAGGGGTGAACTCACTGATATAGTTGCAGCTGCTTCATTCCTGTCACCAACTCGTGCCGTCTAATTCTGCACGCCCCCTCGTTCCCATGTGTGACTTTCCCATACCTTTCCCTCTCTCTCCCTATCTCTCGTTCTCTCTGTCTGTCCACCTCTCTCCTCATATCTCCCTTTCACTTCCTCCCCCGCGCTTTCCCTCAAGCAGAGACGACATTTGGGAAGAGCCATTCAGTGAGCTGGATCCAAGTGGAGGCTGTGTTGACTGATATAGTTCGTGAGGAGTGGCAGCAGCGTGAGGGACGAGTTGGGATGTCAGCGTGAGGTGAGTCTTGCAATTTGTCAAGATGACTTCTGTTGGTTGATTCAGGAGTGAGCACCAGGAGGGCGAGGGCTGTGGTGACTGAGATTTCCGGAGAGGAGTGGCAATCTGAAATGGCAGGAGAGTAAGGGGTGTCTTGCAATTTGTCAAGATGACTTCTGTGTGTTGATTCAGGACAGGAGTGAGCAGCACGCGGGCGAGGGCTGTGGTGACTGTTATATTCGGAGAGGAGTGGTACCTATGCTGGATTGGCAGTGTGAGTGGCGGGTTCGGATGAGAAAGTGCAGTGCATGTCACAATTGGGTCTACCTCCATTGTAGGCTTTGTTTATTACCAGGGCCATCTAGTTTGCGTGCCAACTCCCTTCCGCGGCAGCGCCGTTCAGCAATCAGACGAGCTGCGGCTGTGCATTCGTCGAGCACGTCGTGCTGCACATTGCGGCAGAGTAAAAGCATCAAAGGCGCCTATTCCGGTAGCATCACCACGCTGGGTCGCCGCGATAGAGTAAGCCTTCCCGCGATGAGATTTTTTCGGGCCTGTCGGCGGCTCAGCGCATTGCATGCGCGACACAACGCGACGCCGCGCACTCTCCTTACCGCCTCGCCTGATGTGCGCCTCCTCCGCTACGCGCCTCTCCCGCTTAACACCGCACACTATGCGCGGCTCTCACGCCTAGTAAATCACCATCTGCGCCCCTCTCCCGCTCGTCGCCTCGCCCGCTGCGCGCCTTTCCCGCTTAGCGCCTCACCCGCAGCGCGCCTGATTCCTGCTTATATTTATATTTCCAGCCCTGAGCTTCCCATGTTATCCCCGCTTCTCCTCGTCATAACCCCCCCTACTCACCCTCCTTTAGCGTCGATGCTCCCGCTCATTTCCCCCTCTTCTCCTGCGGTTCCCTCCCTTCACCCCCTCATGAGCCCCATTCTTCCTCTTATTTCCCCCCATCCACCCTCACATTACCCCCCTTTCTCCCCCTCAATTTGGCCCCCTTCACACCCCCATTTCTCCCCCATTTCCCGTCGTCCAACCAGGGAGGCCCCCATCCAATGAGTTCCCCCCCCTCTCCCTCTCAAATTCCCTCCCTCTCGCTCTCGAATCCCCCCCTTATCCCTCTCAGCCCCCCTCGCCCTTATTTTACCCCCTTCTCCTTCTCAGTTCAGCTCCTGCTCCCACACATTTCTGTTGGTGTAACGGCCTAATAAACTCAAGCTATTTAGACTTTATCAAACTTGAAACCTCTCCTCGGGGTCACCTCCAAGGGTCCTTGGGTGCCTGGTACAAGACCAGCCCCTATCTTCGGGTCCGAGTTTGTAGAGAGAGGGATCAAGAGGGACTTAGTCAAAACAGCAAGACTACCTTGAACGTCGCGCAGCGTATCGTGCAGACCGTCGATCGGATTAAGCTGAGAATTTTCTATATCGAAGCTCGCTCCAAGAGCTTTAAAATGAACCAAGTTGCATCGCGAAAAAATCTGCCATTACGAAGTTATGGCTCGGACAGCGTTTGCTTAGTGTTGGAGTGCTAGCGTACTAGCGTTGACTCGGGTAGCATTCTGCCGTCGCACCGCGTATAAACGAAATTCCAGGAAGGGAGGAATTCGCTTGAATCAAATTGACTATATCCAGGTACAAACAGAGAAGGAATGAATAGTTCTAGCTAGCAAGGACCTTGGGAATAAACCTGGGAACAACCAGGGATGATCCCAAATAATTCCAAGCAACAGAACCAACCTGGCTGGACAAAACAGCAGGTGGTAGGTTGGTAAACAACCTCTGGTTCTCTTTTTCCAACCTGGAAAAACAACAACCAGGTTCAGGTCCTAAAAACAGAACCTGTTTTATCTTTGCCCAACCAGCCAAATGCTCGTTCCGCTGGTTTCCCCTGGCCCTGTAGCGTGCAGATACTGACAAACAACATCCAACCTTCACCTAAATTGTACCCCTATAGTGCCTGCCCTGCTACACTATAGTCAACCAAACAAAACAGTACAATTTAGAGTTGGATAGAACTGAATCTACACAATCAATTCAACCGAACCGCAAAGCTTCCATCTTGGGTTCCTTTGCGAGCTCGTCCTTTCTGCTTGTACTATTCATAGCGCGTACAATGTTGTGCCGAAGCGCACAATGCGCGAGTACTTGCAAATGCTTCAAGCGAAAATTGCGAAAGCAAACAAACACACGAACATTCCATTCACACCCAAATGCATTCGCACACGCATACTCGTACAAACAGACGGCAGGATGTCGTGCAATGTGAATTTGCACCCAACAATTCCCCCCCCTTCTGGCTTCGATTCCCCCCTTCTCCCTCTCATGGGTGGCGTGCCCTCCCCCCTCATGTTGCTCCCCATCATCCCTCTCATCATCCCCTCTTCGTCCCCTCATTTCCCCCCTTTCTCGCACTCAAATCCCCCTTTTCTCCGTCTCATCTACCCCCTTATCCCTCTCATTTCTCCCCCTTGCCCCTTTTCATTCCCCCTAGCCTCCCTCCTCCCCTCACCATCATTTCCCCCATTGCTCCCTCTCATTTCCCCCCTTCTCCCTCTCATTTCCGCCCCTTCTCCCTCTCATTACCCCCCCGTCTCCCCCTCATTTGCCCCCCTTCTCCCCCCCATTTCTCCCCCTTCTCCCTCTCATTGCCCCCTCTTTTCCTTCTCGAATTCTCCCCTTCTCGCTCTCAAATCCCCCTTACATCCCTTTCCCCTCTACTCCCTATCATATCCCCGCTTCTCCCCCTCATTTCCTACCTCGCTCCATCTCAATTCCCTCGTTGCGCACTCTCAGCCCCCCCCCATTATTGCCCTCGTTTACTCCCCTTCTCCCTCTCATTTACCCCTCTGCTCCCCTCATTTCGCCCCCTACTCCTTCTCACATCCCACACTTCACCCACTCATTTTCGCCCCTTCTCCACCACACGTCCCCCCCTTCTCTCTCTCATTTCCCTTCCTGCTCCTTTCACTACCCCCCCATATCCCCCCCATTTCCCTCCGTCTTCCCCTTCGTTTCTCCCCCTTCTCCCTCTCATTATCCCCTTTTCACCCTCTCAAGTTCCCCCCTCTAGTCTCTCAGACCCCCCTTTTCTCCCTCCCCTCCCGCCCCCACCCTCTTCTCCCTATCATTTCCCCGCTACCCTCCCTCATTTCCTCCCTCGCTCCATCTCAATACCCCCGTTGCTCCCTCTCAGCTGCCCCCCTTCTCCCTCTCATTTCCCTCTCAAAATACCCCCTTAACGCTCTGAAATCCCCCTTTTCTCCCGCGTGAGAGGCGAGTGTGAGAGGGCGGATCCTGCGTTGGTGCGGACGCGTAATGTCTCTATACTTCTGGTTACGTCGCCGTTTATGTCGGAAACGGTGTTCGTTTGCGCAGGTTGTTGAATCGCGATCTGCTTATCTACATAGTTGTCGGACTACCGAACGTAGTGGCCTAGTTCTGAGAAAGCAGTTAGTTTGTATACTTTTGTTGTTTCAAAAATTTTGAACCAGCAGTCAGAGGAGGAGATGGTGCGGGGTGTCGGGGGGATCATCGCCCTTGTGGGACGAGGGAAGTGAGCTGTAATAGGGTAACCAGTTTTCAAATTTCAAAACTTATAAAACTCCCACTTTCAAATGTATACGAAAGCTTTAACTACATTTCTCTTGAAATTTGTGGGAACAATAAAACAAATCGCGGTTTACGCAATCATAGGCTCGCCACATGGCGAAAATAAAACAAACCGCGCTTCCGCGGAATTCTCGGATACCGCCAGGTCAAGGTGGCGCGACTGGAGCACGACATCGAAGTTGGTGTCAGGTTGGGGGGATGACATGGCGCAGCGCCGAACACCAGCTTGACAACCTCCAAATATTGTCACGAAGGAGGGTGGCAGACGAGCTTTGGTCGGGGGTGTGTGGGTATCGTTTGCAAGGTTTGCTTCATGCCTCGCTTGACTTCAAAACTAGATTGTGATTAGTACGATCAATCGTTACACCAAAGATTCACAGAATCGTTGAAACTCCGCTCTTTGCCCTAGTACAGTACCACCTGCATCCATGACCCACCCAAGCGAGAGACAAGAAGGGTTTCGTTCAAACCACTCTCAGGACGCGTCACAATTGCAATACCAGGAGGGATCAGGATCAAACACTGAAAATGACAGCATCGCTCGTGAAACAGCATGTTTCAATCTGCGCGAGCAGTGTCGGCTGCTTCCCCGAGCCACTTGGGACACGGCCAGAATTGCAGGTGGGGGACCTCCTGTCAGAACATTGTAGCTTATGCTGTTGTGTAGGCTATAGTGGGGTATCCCATAAGGGGTACAACCAATTAGGGTTTCATATTTGTACTCACATCATTTCATAGTTCAGACATTCTTGTTCAAATCTTCTCATGGTATGGAGCAGGTTCCCCCTTGGGAACTGTGCTTAGGGCCCACCACATCGAGTTTTTTTTTTTTTTTTCCTGCCCGAAGCGCGCTCAGCCCGAGTCGCGCTCCGGGCCCTCACTTCGTCGAGCCGCCCTAGCGGCCCTTCCTCGCGGCCCCGCCGCCCCATCGCGCGGCCCCGCCGCCCTACCTAGCGGCCCCGCCGCCCTTCCTCGCGGCCCCGCCGCCCCATCGCGCGGCCCCGCCGCCCTACCTAGCGGCCCCGCCGCCCTTCCTTGCGGCCTCGCCGCCCCATTGCGCGGCCCCGCCGCCCTACCTAGCGGCCCCGCCGCCCTTCCTCGCGGCCCCGCCGCCCCATCGCGCGGCCCCGCCGCCCTACCTAGCGGCCCCGCCGCCCTTCCTCGCGGCCCCGCCGCCCCATCGCGCGGCCCCGCCGCCCTACCTAGCGGCCCCACCGCCCTTCCTCGCGGCCCCGCCGCCCCATCGCGCGGCCCCGCCACTCTACCACGCGGCCCCGCTGCCCTATCTCGCGGCCCCGCCGCCCTACCCAGCGGCCCCGCCGCCCTACCCAGCGGCCCCGCCGCCCTTCTGCAGCGGCCCCGCTGCTTCTCTGCAGCGGCCCCGCCGCCCTATCAAGCGGCCCCGCCGCCCTTTCTGCAGCGGCCCCGCCACTTCTCTACAGCGGCCGAGCCGCCCAGCAACAGCGCAGCCGAGCCGCCCAGCAGCAGAGCAGCCGAGCCGCCCCGCCGCCGAGCCGCACTGCAGCCGAGCCGCCCGGCCGGCCACCAGCCGAGCCGCCGTGCAGCCGACCGCCCAGCCGCCGAGCCGCCCAGCCGTCGAGCCGCCCTGCAGCCGAGCCGCCCGAGCAGCCCTGTCCGGTGAGCACAGACCCTCTGTCACTGCGTGCTCTTCCCCTTACTGCCTGCACTGCTGGTCTACTGCTGTCATGGCCACCCCTAGTGTCCTCACTTTTGACGCTGAGGGTCGGGCCATTGACTTTGAGGTCTGGGTAGATGACCTACAGCTGTTCTTACAGTGCGATAGGGCGGACGGCCTCTCTCTCTTTGACCTCACCTCTGGCGCTTCCCCTGCCCCTGCTGCTGATGCTGACGCCACTGTTCGCTCCCAGTGGGCCACGCGCGATGCTGCTGCACGTCTTGCTGTGCGTCGCCACCTCCCTACCTCCGAGCGTGCGCACTTTAGTCAGTACAAGAGTGCTCAGACCTTGTACGCCGCTGTAGTCGCGCGCTACTCCTCCCCTTCCACTGCTGCACTGAGCCGTCTCATGCTGCCGTACCTCTTCCCTGACCTTGCTTCTTTTCCCACCGTTGCTGACCTCATTACGCACCTCCGCACTAGTGACACTCGCTACCGCGCTGCACTTCCTGCTGACTTCTGCACCGCGAACCCCCCCCCCATGTACATCACTCTGTACTTCCTAGTCACTCGCCTCCCTGACTCCGTTCGAGTAGTCAGGGACCACTTTCTCTCAGTCTGTCCCACCACACTCACTGTAGACCTCCTCGAGAACGCCCTCCTCGCGATAGAAAAGAGCATAATCGCTGTAGGAGCCTCTCGAGGTGACCCGCGCACCCCCATCTTTGAGGGGTGTTCTCCCTCCCCCCTGCTGCCCTCTGTTGTCTCTGCTGCTTCGGCCGACCTCCTTGTTCTTGAGTCGGTCGGTGCGGCGTCTGCCCCTAGCGGGAGACGCCGCCCTGGCAAGGGCAAGGGGGGCAAGGGAGCTGGAGGAGCGGGCGGTGGAGGTGGAGGTGGAGGCAGTGGGGGGAGTGGGGGTAGCGGTGGAGGTGGAGGTGGGGGTGGGGGGTTCGGTGGCGGCAGTGGAGGCGGAGGCCGCGGCGGCGGTGGCGGTGGTAGCGGAGGTGGCGGAGGAGGCGGCGGTGGAGGAGGCGGTGGAGGCGGCGGCGGCAGTGGAGGCAGCGGAGGCGGTGGAGGCGGTGGGGGTGGCGGTGGAGCTGGTCGCGGGTCTTTGCAGAGGAGTGGCTCCGGTGGTGGCTCGCGCCAGCAGCAGCAGCGTGGTCGTGCGACCCTGTCCCCTCAGCAGCTCCGTGAGTGGTACACTGCACGCCAGCGGGGTGGGGGTTTTGGTCCGTGTACCTACGTCCTGCGCACCGGCGACCGTGCGGGTGAGCAGTGTGGGGGTGCGCACCCCACTCCGCGCTGCTTTGGCCGCCTGACGGACGCATGGCGTCACCAGTTCCCGGAGGCCTCCGAGATACCTCGCTGGGACGAGCTGTCTAGGGCGGGGGTTGCCATCTTTGATCTGGACTTTGATGCTATTCTCTCTGCCATGTATGCTGTGTCTATTAGTGATGAGGCTGACTGTTACCGGTGTTTCCAGCCCGATCCGGGCATTGAGACTGCTGCTCTAGGTCCTGGTGAGGCTGCTGCCCTAGGTGCTTACGACGCTGCTGCTCTAGGTGCTGGTGTGTCTGCGTCCTCAGGTACTGGTGAGTCTGCTCTCTCAGGTACCGCGTCGGCTTCGGCCTCCCTCACCTTCACTCTTGACTCTGGGGCGTCTCGCTCCTTCTTTCGGGACCGCACCACACTCGCGCCACTTAGTCGGCCGGTTGCGGTGTCTCTGGCTGACCCCTCTGGGGGTCCGGTCCTGTCTCGTTTCTCCACAGTCCTCCCGTGTCCGGCGGCTCCCTCTGGCACCCTGTCTGGTCTCTACCTCCCCTCGTTCTCGACGAACCTGGTGAGTGGTGCTGACCTACAGGATGCGGGTGTCCACCAGTTCACTCCTGCACGTCAGAGAGTGACCCACTGTACAGAGGCTGGCACAGGCCGACACCTGGCTACGTTCACCCGTCAGCCGGGGTCGAGCCTGTACACTCTGACCACTGCGTCTCCTCCAGTTGCTGAGTCTGGTAGGGTAGTTACGTCGGGTCAGGTGTTTGCTGCGGCGTCCAGGTCTGGTCCTGAGTCTGCCCCCTGTTCGTGTCGTCTCCTGTCTCACGAGACTCTCCTCTGGCACCACCGCCTTGGCCACCCCTCTCTGCTTCGGCTCAGAGGTATGGCCTCCCGTCTTCTTGTGTCCGGTCTCCCCCGGTCCCTCCCTCCCCTTCCTCAGGGCCCTGGCCCTACCTGTGTCCCCTGTGTCGAGGGGCGCCAGCGTGCTGCCCCTCACTCCTCCCAGTTTCCTTCGACAGAGGCCCCGTTGCAGACACTTCACATGGACGTGTGGGGCCCAGCCCGCGTCCGTGGACAGGGTCACGAGCGCTACTTCCTGCTCGTTGTTGACGACTACTCGCGTTACACCACAGTCTTCCCCTTGCGCAGCAAGGGTGATGTCACTGAGGTGCTGATCGACTGGATCCGCGCAGCTCGTCTCCAGCTTAGGCAGAGCTTCGGCTCGGACTTTCCTGTTCTGCGTCTGCACTCGGACAGAGGCGGAGAGTTCTCCTCTGGCCTTCTGCGTGCCTACTGTCGTGCACGGGGCATCCGTCAGACCTTCACGCTTCCGGACTCACCGCAGCAAAATGGGATTGCTGAGCGCCGCATTGGCATGGTCATGGACGTCGCTCGTACGTCTATGATGCATGCGGCTGCCCCCCATTTTCTGTGGCCGTTTGCGGTGAGGTACGCGGCGCATCAGATCAACCTCCACCCCAGGGTCTCCAGGCCGGAGACCTCCCCAGCCTTGCTGTGGACGGGGAAGGTTGGCGATGCGTCGGCGTTCCGGGTCTGGGGATCTCGGGCGTTTGTCTGCGACCTGTCTGCGGACAAACTATCCCCTCGTGCTGCTCCTTGCGTCTTCCTGGGGTTCCCCCCTGACGCGCCTGGGTGGCAGTTTTACCACCCCACCTCTCGCCGTGTTCTGTCCTCCCAGGACGTCACGTTTGACGAGTC